GGCCAGGTGACGACCCGTCCGAGCACACGTGCAGTGCGTCACACGCTGGTGGGCAGGGGTGAACTGGTGAACACCCCCATCCTGAAGATCAGCACCCGACACCAAGTTCGTAGAGAACGAGGGGAGGTGAAGACCAGTCAGCGAGCCGGACGGAACAGCAGGGCACGGGAGGACAGTGGAGGAACGGGCCACAACTGGTCCCCCAGAGGGGTCAGCCAGAGAGACTGCCACCGGCCGAGAGGGTGGTGCAGTCGCGAAAGAAGGAGCGGGAGGCACCCGAGTCAAGGGTGAAAGTGTGCAAGACCTGAGCCGACGCGGTACCTGAGAGAGCAGCCTCACCAGCACCTGGAGCAGCAGACTCACTAGCACCTAGAGCAGCAGCCTCAATGCCCGGGTCGGGCGGAACACACAGGTAACAGTCACCCTCAGCACTAATAGACACAGCATACATAGCAGCAAGGATAGTGTCATAGTCAAGATCAAAGATAGCAACCCCCGACCTAAGCAGATCACCCCAGCGAGGGATCTCAGTGGAGCCAGGGAACTGTGCACGCCAGGCGTCAGTCAGGCGGCCGAAGCAGCGGGGTGTGGTGTGCGGGCCGCCGCACGTCTCTCCACTGCGGTCGCCGGTGCGAAGAACGTAAGCGCAGGGTCCAGCACCCCCAGACCTCCCACGCCCAGCGTACCACTCACGGAGCTGCTGAGGCGACGGGGTCTCACGGGAGCGCTGCTGCTGCTGGCGCTGGTCACCGCTAGAGCCTCCCCGCTGCCCACCGCCACCCCCACCTCCGCCTCCGCCGCCGCCACCTCCACCCCCACTCCCGCTGCCTCCGCCACCTCCGCCTCCACCGCCGCCACCGAAGCCCCCACCCGAGCCACCACTCCCACCTCCACCTCCACCCCCACCCCCTCCGCCTCCTCCACCACCACCACCTCCGCCCCCGCCGCCCCCTCCACCCCCCTTGCCCCCCTTGCCCTTGCTGTTGCGGCGCCTCCCACTAAGAGCAGACGCAGCGCCGACCGACTCGGTGCCAACGAGGTCGACAGCAGCAGCAGAGGCAACAGAGGGCAAGAGGGGAGAGGGGGAGCACCCCTCAAAGAAAGGGGCGCGAGGGTCACCACGAGAGGCCCCTACAGCGACTATACTCTTCTCAGCTGCAAGGAGGCGCTCCTCGAGGAGGTCAACGGTGAGCGTGGTGGGGCAGAGGGAGAGGAAGTGGTCCCTGACCGAGCAAAGGGAGTCAGGGAGCCGGGTGACGAGGTAGTAGAGGGTGATGTACATAGTGGGGGGTTCTTGGCGCAGAACTCGGCAGGAAGCGCAGCGCGGTAGCGGGTGTCACTAGTGCGGAGGTGCGTAATGAGGTCAGCGACTGTGGCAAACGCGGCTAGGTCAGGGAACAGGTACGGCAGCATGAGGCGGCTAAGGGCAGCAGTGGCAGGGGAGGAGTAGCATGCAACAACAGCGTCGTACAAGGTCTTAGCACTCTTGTACTGACTAAAGTGCGCGCGCTCAGAGGACGGTAGGTGACTACGCACAGCAAGGCGAGCAGCAGCATCGCGCGTGGTCCAGACCGAGCGAACAGTACTAGCAGCATCAGCAGCAGGGGCAGCAGAGGCACCAGACGTGAGATCGAACAGTGAGAGGCCGTCTTTGCTATCGCACTGCAGGAAAAGCTGCAGATCATCTATCCAGACCTCAAAGTCTACCGCTCGACCCTCAGCATCAAAGGTAAGAACGTTGGGACTAGCCATGACAGCAGCAGCAGCAGGCTAGCAGCAGCAGCAGCAGAAGCAGGCTAGCAGTAGCAGCAGCAGGAGGGGCGCGGCTCGGCGGTGCGCTTACCAGGGGCGGGTGGGTAGAAGCCCGCAAGTGGTGGGGCAGGGCCGAGGTGCGTCGGCAGGATCAGGGCTGCGACAGGGCGGCAGGGCAGGGCCGCGACTCGGCGGCAGGCAGGGCCGGGACGGCGGCGGCGGCTGTCACGGCAGTGGCGGCGGCGGCTGTCTCAGCAGCAGCGGCGGCAGCTGTCACGGCAGGAGCGGCGGCGGCTGTGACGACAGCAGCGGCGGCGGCTGTCACGGCAGCAGCGGCGGCGGTGAACGGCCGTGGCGGAAGCGGCAGCGGCAGCAGGCGCGACGGCAGCTGCTGCTGGGGCGGCAGCGACGGGGCGGCAGGGCGGCTACGGCGGGCCGCGAAGAGCCGCGGAGGGGCCGCGAAGGGGCCGCGAAGGGGGGGCCGCGAAGGGTCGCGAAGGGCCGCGAAGAGGCCGCGAAGGGCCGAGAGGGGGGGGGCGCGAAGGGCCGCGCAGGGCCGTGAGGGGGCCGCGAAGGGCCGCGAAGGGGCCGCGAAGGGCCGTAAGGGGGCCGCGAAGGGCCTTACGAGGGGCCGCGAGGGGCCGCTAAGGGGTCGCGACCAGGACCGCGAAGGGGCCGCGAAGGGGGGCCGCTAAGGGGGGCCGCGAAGGGGCCACTAAGGGCCGTTAAAGGGCAGGCCACTAAGGGGCCGCGAAATTTTAGGGCAGGACGCGAAGCGCGTTTAGGGCAGGCTAAAAAAAAAAATTCGAAGGTGGGCCCAAGGAAGAAATGGTCCCACTAGGGAACCCGCTCTATACCATGTGAAGAAATGAGGAATGAATGAACTAGGAAAGTGTTGAGTACAAATATGAAACCCTAGAAACTTGTACCCCTTAGTGTCTACCCCACTATAGTCTACACAGACTAAGTCATATATGTCTGACAGTCAGAAGATTGGACATTCAATTTCCTGACGAATTTTAAAATGCGAATATTACAGGTTTCTCGGAAGCTTCTTGGTCGCAGAATTTCGGTTTGGCCAAAGTGATTGGCCAATGAGGTTGCAGCGCATCAGCTGATGCGCGCATGATGCGATTTTTCGAAGTCGCATGATGCGCGCATCAGTGATGCGCCCGATTGCTAGGAGAGGAAGCTTCTTGGAACGCGGTCACATTACAAATTTCGTAAGCCAAAAAGGCCGTTCTGCAGGCATTCTGGTTTGTTTTGCTTCGGCAGCCATGCGCTTATCGCGAGCCTTGATAACCTGTCAGCAGGTTATCATGGGAAAATCCTGGAACCATGGTAGAACGCATCAATGTACATTGATGCGGGCTGATGCGCCTGCAGAACGCATCCATGGTGTAGGCTCCCCGAGCCCGCACCATGCGACGGATCAGTGGTGCGTCATTTTGCCAGGGAAAACGGTTTCCTGGAACCATCGTATGGCTAAAAACGCAATCATTAAAAAGGCTGTTCGGCAGGCATTTTTAACCGCTCAGGTTCGGCCTAGACCTGCTTACCTCATTCGCTTATAAAAGAAGGTTCCAGGGTGGTCGTTTTACTGTAGCCGGTCCCCGAGCCTGAGCCTGCCGAACAGGGCCCAGCAGGAAGGGGTCGGTTCATAGAGGCGATCGATCTCGTACTTGCCCCAGATTGATCATTTCCCAACTCCCATTCTCCCACCAACCAGCAAGTCAAACTGGGTCCGCCCTGGAATCAGGAATTTGAGTTGGTGGCAAGGGAGAAACTAGTTGGTCATAGCAGGTCGCACGAGTTTACGCTCTATCGCAACGTTGGCAGGCTTCACCAACGATCAGCCAGCGAGGCGCGGCAAGTCACACATTCCCCAAGCGAGATCTCGTCCCTCCTAGACAGCCACCGCATGGAGAGCAGTCAGGCGCAGTCACGATGGGCGTACCAGTTACGAACGGCGAGGCGAGCCATTCTTTTGTTGAACTTTTTGAATCGACTCGTCGAACATCTCGTTGTCTGCCGCCGCTATCAGCGCTCGCTTGGAAGTACCTGTTTACACTTGGTAGACTGTCTAGAATCTCGCAGCACGTAGTTCCACTAGTACTGTAACGTATTGCCTACCTACCCTAACCATCGACAATCTTCCCTAAGTCAATGTCGAGAGTTTTCTCGACAAAGAGGGAGTTGGAGAAGGTGGTTGGGTTGGTTGGGAGAAAGGGTTGGGTTGGTTTGCCAAACCTCAACTTTGAGGCTTGGAACTTTTTCAACCCAACCAAGGAAATATTGAAGGTTGGATTTCCAACCAATCACAAACTGCCAGTTCAATGTTACAAACTACTCTATCTTAAAAACAACCATTCAATGGTTCTAGGTTGGGTTTTCCCAACCCAACTAATTGCCACATAGGCTCCCAGCCTAGGGACCATCCCACCATGGAACCCATGGTTGGGAGAGTTCCCAAAGGGGTGTATTGAGGGAGTTTGAGCTTCCAATCTCATTCTTCACCTCCCACTCCAACTAATCAATTGGAAATGGGATTGTTTCTCTAAGTCTTGGTTGGCTCTCTCACAAGCCCTCCTACACAACTCTTTCAAGCAATTCTATCAACTACTTCAAGAAGATTGACACTTCAAGGCTATTGGGAGCTAGCTAAGGCTTCAACTTGTATTGGGATTTTATTATAAAGCCTTGTAACCACTATTATAATAGCCTTGGGTGTTACATTGGAATCTAGAGCAAGGTTATTCCTTGGCCTTGTGTGGCCATTTGCTACTTGGATATTTTTTTTAGAGGATCCTAGATTGTGGATCTAGGAGTTCATCCAAGGAGCTATCAAGATCTTGAAGATAATTGAAGAAATTTCAAGATCTACAAAAGCATCTTCAAGATCTACAACTTCAAATCTTCAAACCACCATTGGAGCTACAAGATCTACAAGGAGCTCCTCTTCTTCATCAACATTGGGAAGAAATTTGAAGAGAAATTCATTTTCTCTTGCCCACCTTTTGGTGGAAGACTCTAATCTACCTTGGGTAGAAGAGTTTATCTTCAGATCTACAAGGACTTGTTGAGGATTACTCTCTTGAGTATATCTTGCTCTATCATTGAGGTGATAGAGAGATTTTGCAAACAAGTCAATCTTAAGAGATTCTGTATTGGATTATTCTATAAGAGTAATCAGATTTCTTAAAGATTATTATAAGATCTGTTTGGATCTCCTTTCCTTAACCTATTTCATGGCTTCTGGTCAAGAGATGGATTCTACCAAGGAGGTGCCTGTTGTTGGCAATGAAGGAGATAGTGCTGCTGCTGCTGCTGACATTGATCTCAACCTTGATGACTTCGTGGTTGACATGGAGATCAATGGAAGTGAAGCTGATCTTGAGGCTGATGCTGAAAATGAGGATGAGGCTGGCTCTGATAAGGGTGTCTCCAATGAGACTGAGAACATTGCTATCAAGCTCCAGACTCAACTCACAGAGCAGCATATTCTCATTGGGGAGCAGCAGTGCCACATCCAGAACTTGGAGGCTGATTATGTTAAGCTTCAGGCCTTGCTTGAGAAGCTGAGCAAGGAGGTGCAGTTGATCCCTAAGGAAAACACCACCTCCAGCTTCATTGGGGACCTGCAGGCCACTCTCAAGTTCGTGCAAGATCAGCTCAAGAGGCAGGAGACACAAATCTCTCAGCTTCAGACTCAGTACAGGGAGTTCCGGCGTGGTAACCTCTATCAGCCTGCTCCTGCAGCTGAACGTGTCGCCAACTCCACTAACAGCCGTGCTGCACCTGCTGCCGCACCTCCTGCTGGTCCTCCTTCTGGAGCACGTGCTGAGCCTCCTACCACAGCTGCAAATGCCTTTGGCTCCTGCCCTTCGGCCCTGCCTCGTTTTGCCAACGGCAAGACTGACGTTGAGACTTGGCTTTCCATTGCGGAGGACTTCATGTCCATCCACAATGTGGGTAGCGAGGCTCGCGTGGTCGCTGCGAACCTTGCCCTGGACGACACTGCGAGCAAGTTGGTGTATGCCAACAAGCGCCACGCAGAGGCAAATGGCCACCCCTTTTGCTGGGAGGAGTTCAAAGCGGCCATGCTGACGGCATTCCTGGTTCAGCCCCCGGCGCTTGAGGTGCGTAGCCGCCTGGAGAATATCCAGTGCGGTGACCAGCCTGTACGCGAGTACGCCAAGGAGTTTGAGAAAACTCTGTCGCTGCTGAAGACTGCTCTTCCTGAGAGCGAGGTCATCCACCAGTTCTTCAAGGGACTCCCCGAGCACATCAAGCGTGTGCATGTGGTGAAGGGGGAGCACCAGTGGAAGACCTACAAGGAGTGTAAGGAGCAGGTCATCAACACGGATGTGCACTTCCGTGCGTACCTGGACCTCAAGAGCACTCGTGCTCAGCAGCAGCCTAGTGCCGAAGGCCCTTGGGGGGGTGGTAGCAGGACCCAGGCACCCAGGGGCTGTGGCCCTTGGAAGAGGCCCTATCAGCAAAAGGGGGAATCCTCTGGGACTCAGTCCAAGAGGCCCCATGCGGGGCATACCAAGGATCCCTAGGATGCTGATAAGCCTCGTGCGGGCTGCCACATCTGTGGCAAGCCCGGGCACAAGGCCTATCAGTATCGTTGGAGGAAGTCCGTCAAGAACTCCGGCAAGCCCAACCAGGGCAAAAGCCGGATGGTTCGGGCCCTTCAGGTTCGAAGGATTTTCAGAAGCCCAACTAGGGGGTGGGTACCTAGTTGGTGAGCGAGATCGAGTAGATGAGGCTTATGTCCTTTGTGATGAGGATTTGCTAAAGCTAGAGAAGCTTGCATCATGCAAAATCGCTTATTTGTATGCCTCTTCTATTAATGAAAAATCGGTTTTTAAAACTCGATCATACCCACTTGAAAATATTTCAATTGAATCTTTGAGAGATAAATTTTCAATCATCTCTTGCTCGTTCAAGGAGTTGCCAGCAATCATGGATATTGTGGACCGTTGTGTCCAAGGGCACCCGCTCACATCAGTGAGATTGGTGACTCGAATCGTGAAAGGAGAGTTATTCCGCCGATTTCACGAATGGCATATCCTGGCAACATGGGACAAAGGGCACCATGTTTGGTGGACCACATCCCAAAGGTTTGGACGTGCTCACAACAAATTCAGGGTGTACTATCGACCTCCTAAACTTGTTGTCGCTTGTCCCATCCGTCCAAGATTCCAACAGAATTTACTGTTATCTGGACGCATGAATGGGGACGAAGCAAGGATTCTCGTCGATACAGGCGCGTCGGTTTCCCTTGTTGATGAAACTTGGGTTACGACACGCAACGTCCTCGTTGTAGGACCGTCGTGTCCCATCCGCTTGGGTGACGATCGTGTCATTCCAAGTAAAGGACAGACACATATCGACATGAACGTACAGGACTATAGCGAAAAAGTTCGCGTGTATGTCCCTCCACTTTTGTCAGGAGTCGACCTCATCCTTGGCATGGATTGGTTGCGAGCCAACGAAGTCAAATTGGACTTCTTGTACAACATTGTCTCGTTCAACAAGAACGGAAAGGCAATCCAGTGGCAATTCAATGATACTCTACCTACTGAAACACAGACGCCTGAACGTCCTCGCGCGCTGTGCGTTTTGGCCAACCAGTTCGGGCATTTTGTTAAGTCGGCCGATACACTATTCGTGGTACAGCTTGAGAATGCCGAGGCCTCGGAGCCAGCAATTGAGGATTTCCCTCCTCAGATGCAAATACTGGCAGAGGAATTCAAGGAAGTGTTTGAAACCATCCCCGATGGACTTCTGTCAGAATGAGAAGGAACGAAGGAGCCATAGCTAGGGTTTAGCAAGCTAGGAAAGAGAGAATAGGCAATAGAGGGTTTGAACTAGAAAGGAGAGGGATACAAATAGCAAGCCCACAAGGGTTATACTCACTATTGAGTACCCCACTACAGACTAGACAAGCATAATATTCTGACACACCCCTTCTGACACACCCCCATAGTACAAGCAAAGCTAGAGGCATTCACAGAGGGCAAGTGAGGAGGAGGAGAGACTGTGGGGGCGAGAAGATGGGAGGCGACGGCTGAAGCTGCAGACACACGGGCAACAGGAGCGGCGCGCACGGTGGCTACCGGAGCAAAGGGCCCCGGACTACAGGAGTAACTGGCTCTGCGGCTAACTCTGAGCGGCAGGAGCAACGGACCCACGGGCGACTGACGCAGCAGGCTCTCTGGGCTACCAGCGGCAGAGCCCCGGACTACAGGTGTTGCGGACGACAAGACGGCTGCCTCCACTCAACCTCCCCCAACTGTCCCACCTCCCTTTCACACACCCCTTGCTGTACCCCTAGCTCCACTCCCACGTCACCCCCCTAGCACCACTCCTTCGACTCCCACACACCCACCCCCCTCAGCGGCAGCTGCAGCAGTGGGAGACGGAGGAGGAGGAGGAGCAGGACGGCTCACACACCCGCCACCCCCATACCCGCCACCCCCATACCCTCCAACGCAGGGCAGAAACGCGGGCAGCAGGTGGGGCGGCGTGTGAGCGGAAGCGGGGCGGCGCGCGGACCCCCACGGCGCCTCGACGAGCGACGGGAGGGGGCGACGCGCGGGCCCCCTGGGCGCCGCGACGGGCGACGGGAGGGGCGACGCGCGGCCCCCCAGGGCGCCGCGACGGGGCGACGGGAGGGGCGACGCGCGCCCCCCCAGGGCGCCGCGACGGGCGACGGGAGGGGGGGGTGATGCGCTGGCCCCCAGGGCGCCGCGACGGGCGACGGGAAGGGCGACGCGCGGCCCCCCAGGGCGCCGCGACGGGCGACGGGGCAGCGCGCGCGGGTTCCCGGGGGCGACTCTCGGGTCGACGGGGGCAGCGCGCGGGTCGACGGGGAGGGATGCACGGGTCCCCGGGGGCGGCGCGACGGTCGATGGGGGGGACGCGCGGGTCCCCGGGGTGACGCGTGAGGCAGCAAACCGCCGCGCGCCTCGGGGCGCACGGCGGGCAGAAAACCGCCGCGCGCCCCGAGCGCGCGGCGGGCAGAAAACCGCCATGAGCCCCGAGCGCGTGGCGGGAAGAAAAAAAAATGTCGCGCGCCACGGGGCGCGCGACAGACAAGACAGCAGCAGCGGAAGCATGTGGGCCCACAGGCCAGGAGTGCAAAGGCTCTAATACCATGTCAGAATGAGAAGGAACGAAGGAGCCATAGCTAGGGTTTAGCAAGCTAGGCAAGAGAGAATAGGCAAAAGAGGGTTTGAACTAGAAAGGAGAGGGACACAAATAGCAAGCCCACAAGGGTTATACTCACTATTGAGTACCCCACTACAGACTAGACAAGCATAATATTCTGACAACATCCACCTGACCGCGCAGTGGGCCACACCATCCCTGTTGAACCAGGAAAGGTTCCACCCTTTCGGCCTCTGTATCGCCTCAGTCCAGCTGAGTACGATGAGGCTAAACAACAGATCGAGGAATACCTCAGAAAAGGATGGATTGAACCCAGTGCATCCCCTTACGGAGCACCGATTTTGTTCGTTAACAAGAAGGGCGGAGGATTACGCGTGTGCGTAGATTATCGTGCCTTGAACAAGATTAATGCTTGGCAGTGGACCGATCAATGCCAGAAGGCATTTGAGGAGGTAAAAACCATGCTGACCAATGCTCCAGTGCTGGCTTTGCCAGACCCATCCAAGCCCTACGAGGTGGTAACTGATGCCTCAATAGTAGGGATTGGCGCAGTTCTTTTGCAAGAAGGACGCCCCGTGGCATTTGAGAGTAGAAAGCTTTCCCCGGCTGAGCAGCGCTATACAACTTCCGAGCAAGAATTGTTGGCAGTTGTGCATGCGCTACGAACATGGAGATGTTATATGGAAGGTGTTGACTTCGTGGTCATGACCGACCATTGTCCGAACACCTATTTTGCCACTCAAGCCACACTCACCCGCCGTCAAGCTCGATGGGCTGAACTCCTTAGTGGGCTCGACGAACATGGCTGATCCGCTGAGCAGACAGCCGATTGGCGCAGCAACGGGGATTGATGATAGTGAACACGCAGTAGTGTTCGCTGCTTGTTTCAACATCCTCGCAACTGCTCGAGTGAGTGAGATCGCCTTTGGTAGTTTTCTGAAACGCATCCGCGCAGGGTATATTATTGATCCCTGGTTTCAGAACCCACAAAATACAAAGGATCTCTTGTGGGAGCACGAGCTCTGGTGGCACAAGAAAGAAATTGTTGTCCCACATGTGGGAAACATGCGGAATGATATTCTAGCAGAGGTGCACGCCACTAAGTATGGAGGACACCTGGGTGTCAAGAAAACCCGGTGGGCCCTCAGTGATGTATACTGGTGGCCGGGATTGGGCATTGAGGTCCAGCAGTTTGTAACTCGCTGTGACACGTGTGCACGGAACAAGCCAAGCACACAGAAGCCTGGTGGTTTGCTTCAACCACTTGTGATTCCCGATGAACCTTGGGAGAGTGTATCGCTGGATCTTATCACCGATCTCCCCAAGACGCGAGATGGTCATACAGCAATTCTGGTGTTTGTTGATCGCCTGACCAAAATGGTACACTTCATGCCCACGACGACTGACGTGTCTGCGGAGGATACGGCAAAGTTGTTTGCGACGCACGTTTTCCGTTTACACGGTTTGCCTCGTGTGTTGGTGTCTGGCCGAGACCCGCGCTTCACAAGCCGGTTCTGGCAAGAGGTCATTAAGACACTCGGAACGAAACTCAAGATGTCGTCTGCTTTCCACCCACAAATGGATGGACAGACAGAGCGGACCAACCGCACCCTTGAGCAAATGCTTCGTTCTTTCATAAGCCCAACTCAGGACGATTGGGATGAATTGTTCCCAGTCGTGGAATTCGCTGTGAACAATTCTGTGCATGAAAGCACGCATGAGAAACCCTTTGTCCTGAACTGTGGTCGGCACCCCATAACCCCTGCGACGCATGGGATTAAGAACCTCAAAATCCCTGCCGCAAAGGACTTTATTGGAAAACAGCAAGCGGCATTGAAATCCACTCGCCATTGGCAGCAGCTTGCCCAACAGAGGCAAAAGTTTTATGCCGACATGAAACGCCGGGAAGTCGTCTTTGCAGTTGGCGACAAAGTGTTACTGAGTACGAAGAATATTCGTCTCAAGATCCCGGGAGCACGAAAGCTCTTCCCTCGTTGGATTGGGCCCTTCGAGGTGATTGCGCGTGTTGGTGAGGTCGCCTATAGGCTCAAACTGCCTGCGACATTGCAGATTCACAACGTCTTCCACGTGTCTCTGTTGAATAAGTACGTTGCAGAAGGCAAGTAGTTACCACCACCAACTATCGTTCTCGGGGAGGAACTCTTTTATGAAGTCGAGCGTGTGCTAACGTACCGTGATCGACAACGCGGCCGCAAAACAGTTCGTGAGTTCCTAATTCGGTGGAATGGCTATGGGCTGGAACACAACTCATGGGAGCCTGAGGAACACTTGACCGAAGCAGCGGTTCAAGCGTATATGGAAGACCTGGCTCTACGAGCAGGCCCACAACCAGTGGATGGGGATGACCCTGGTCGTAATGTGGTGCGCTGTGCTCGAAGCACTCGTCCTCAGAAGCACCCTAGGGCAACGGGGACGTTGCCACCTAGGGGGAGAGGAGTGTAACGTATTGCCTACCTACCCTAACCATCGACAATCTTCCCTAAGTCAATGTCGAGAGTTTTCTCGACAAAGAGGGAGTTGGAGAAGGTGGTTGGGTTGGGTTGGGAGAAAGGGTTGGGTTGGTTTGCCAAACCTCAACTTTGAGGCTTGGAACTTTTTCAACCCAACCAAGGAAATATTGAAGGTTGGATTTCCAACCAATCACAAACTGCCAGTTCAATGTTACAAACTACTCTATCTTAAAAACAACCATTCAATGGTTCTAGGTTGGGTTTTCCCAACCCAACTAATTGCCACATAGGCTCCAAGCCTAGGGACCATCCCACCATGGAACCCATGGTTGGGAGAGTTTCCAAAGGGGTGTATTGAGGGAGTTTGAGCTTCCAAGCTCATTCTTCACCTCCCACTCCAACTAATCAATTGGAAACGGGATTGTTTCTCTAAGTCTTGGTTGGCTCTCTCACAAGCCCTCCTACACAACTCTTTCAAGCAATTCTATCAACAACTTCAAGAAGATTGACACTTCAAGGCTATTGGGAGCTAGTTAAGGCTTCAACTTGTATTGGGATTTTATTATAAAGCCTTGTAACCACTATTATAATAGCCTTGGGTGTTACAAGTACTCTTAGAGTAGATGGCAGCAGCGTCTCGTTGGGGGAGGCCGCACAACGCGGCGGTCTCCCGTGCGCGGCTCCCGTCGCAGCATGCGCGGATATCCTCCGCCCGCTTCCGCTTGCGCACGCCGGTCGCGTGGCGAACGGCGCAGGCGACGCGCGTACGGGCGACGGTGGTGGTGCTAGTGGTGGCGCGCTGCTGCATGCCTCTCGCGCGGGCTGCACCCGTGGTGGACCCTGACAGTAAGCCGTGGTGTCAGCGGCGAGGCGCGGGGTGCAATGGCGTGTGCGATTGGTGGCGTGATGATGACGAATCCGTGCTTCGTTTGCCCATCATGGCCTATCCCGTGCGATTTGCCGTGTTGCTGTCACATTGCAACTCTGACGCAAACACTATGTTTCCCAACAACGGTGTATCATGTCGCATGGCTTGGCGAAGCGTGGCGTGGCGTCGCGTGGCGTGGCATGGCATGTCATGGGATGGGATGCGCATTGTGGTGGTGGGAATGGCATGTGGCGATGGCATGGTGGATGGCATGGTGGATGGTATGGTGGATGGCATGGTGGATGGCATGGTGGATGGCATGGTTTATGGTATGGTGGATGGCATGGTGGATGGCATGGTGGATGGCATGGTGGATGGTATGGTGGATGGCATGGTGGATGGCATGGTGGATGGCATGGTGGATGGCATGGTGGATGGTATGGTGGATGGCATGGTGGATGGCATGGTGGATGGCATGGTGGATGGCAGTGTGCGTGGTGGCGGAGCTGGCGGTGGCGTGGAGCGGCACTGCGGCGTGCAACACGTGGGTGCGCGGCAGGGACTGCGACACCATGGCCGGCCTGCGCTGCGACGCACAGGGCCACGCCGTCGCCATGTGAGAAGCGCACCACTCCATCTGTCCATGCATGCATGCCGCCATGGCATCACGCCACGGCATGCTGTGCTTACGTGGCGGCGTGTGAGGCAATAGCGCACTGGGGGCTCTGGCCGCACGAGCAGAGCACGGGGGTGCGATAACACACCGTACCTCGCCTGCACTCGCTCCCACGCTGCCTGTCGCTCACCTGTTCCTCCCATGCGTGCCCCTGGCAGTGACGTGCAGGGCGTGAACATCGTTCCCGCGCGCATTACGCAGCTGGAGCACCTCACGTCGTTGTGAGTGCCCTGCGTCAACCATGCCTGGATGGGTTTGGTGGGGTGTGGTATGGTGGTTTGCGGTATGGTAGGGTGCAGTATGGCGGGGTGTGGTATGGTGGGTTGCGGTATGGCGGGGTGTGGTATGACGGGCGGGGTATGGTATGGCGGGGTATGGTAGTGCATGCATTGCTTTGTGGGAGTTTGGTGCTGCTGTGCGAAGCGAGTAGCATTCGGTGTCGTCTCAAGTACCCTCTTTAGTGCTCTGCTCACACCCATCCTTCCATGCATCACACGCACGTGTCCTAAATTCTCGATGCTTACTCTGTGCGTCCCCTCCCCTGTCCCTTACCCCGCGCCACCCCTGCGTGTGTGCAGAAGCATCACACACAGCCAGTTGGACGGCAGCTTCCCCCCCGCTATCCTCTCCATGCCCACCCTCAAGCACCTGTGAGCCATCCCTCGCCCCCTGCTCGCCATGCCGCCCTGCTCGCCATGCCTCCCTGCTCGCCATGCCGCCCTGCTCGCCATGCCTCCCTGCTCGCCATGCCTCCCTGCTCGCCATGCCTCCCTGCTCGCCATGCCTCCTTGCTCGCCATGCCTCCCTGCTCGCCATGCCTCCCTGCTCGCCATGCCTCCCTGCTCGCCATGCCTCCCTGCTCGCCATGCCTCCCTGCTCGCCATGCCTCCCTGCTCGCCATGCCTCCCTGCTCGCCATGCCTCCCTGCTCGCCATGCCTCCCTGCTCGCCATGCCTCCCTGCTCGCCATGCGCCCACGCTAGGCCCATCCGCATTCGCCTGCAGTGTGTCTCCAATCAGAAGCGATTGCATGCTCACGCCTTCACACACCCTTGTGATTGCTGCATGTGCGTGGATCTGTGGCCATGGAGGCACATGCATGGATATGACTGACATGGAATGCTGGGACGGTGGGATGTGTGCATGCATGCGTGTGTGTGTGATTGCGTGGTGCATGGGAGCAGGAATGTGACAACGTGCTTCATGTTTGGGCCATTGAAGGAGCCCTTCGATCACACCAATTCAAGTGCCCTCGAAACCATGTCAGTCACCACACCACACCACCACGTGCGCCCTTCCACCCCACCCCCAACTATCTTCCCTGCGCGTTAGTTAGTCCACACAAGCCGTCCACCCACCCGACCTCTTCGCCTTCCCTTCCTCGCACTTGTTCCCTGCCATGCGTCTTACCCCTGCCATCCTTGCTCCAGCCATCTCCGTGGCAATGTGCACTCTTGCCCGTTCTCTCCCACTCACACATGGCTCTCATGTGCCGCACACCTTCGCCTCTCACCTTCCATTGCATTGCCCACTCCATGTGCCCGTGAGCAGCAATCTGAGCTGTAACGGGTTTGACGGTGAAATTCCACATACCCTTTCGCGAATCACCTCGCTTAGGCACCTGTGAGCTCTCCTCTCCTCACTCTCTCTCTCTCTCTCTCTCTCTCTCTCTCTCTCTCTCTCTCTCTCTCTCTCTCTCTCTCTCTCTCGAACGGTCCTTTGTATTGATATAGAAAAGAGAAAACAGCATAAGGTAAGCAAGCAAGCAACAAACAGGTATGTCGAACTATTCTCCTTCCTACCCCTTTCCCCTCCCCCCCCCCCCCCCAAGTCTTCTACTCGCTACCATTGCCCGGTTCTAGGGTAGCAAAGCACTCCCCCGGGTCTAGGACCCCCTCAGGGCCTCCTAAGGCTGGGTTCTCCTTCTGGGCCGCCAGGTTCATCTTGATAAGGAAGCTTACTACCTGTGCCCTTTGCAAGGCAACAAACCACCGCTGGCGGAACTGGTGCAGCAGCTTTGCGGCCTGGAAGCTTGAGGGGTCCGCGTTGAAGTGTAAGCGTGCTGCTCTGTCCGCCAGGTGCTTCAGGAACGCCTGCACCTCATCGCACGGGCAGCCATAGGTCTCGACCGCCAGCGGGTAAAAGCCTGCAAATTCAGCCCTGCCGTGGTATAGCCCGATTTTCTTATCTGCTGCCTCCCTTGCTGCCCATCCCCGTCCCTTCCTGGCAGTCTCGTCCCTTTTGCTGATAGGGTCAGTGATGGTTATGTCACCCAGCCACACCGCCCCACTGCTTCTGTCCCGAATGGCCAGGTCGGCCTTCTTGTTGTCGACCGGGCTAAACGCAGTGCTCTCCTTGTGCACTATGAACCCCGCGTCCTGGGCCATACGCACACACTCGTCCCTCAGCTCATTGTGTGTGTTGGTCCGTCCGTGCCCTGTGCCGCAGCGGAGGAGGTGGTTGGGGAGGCGCTTGTCTGCTATGGCGACTCTCTTGGTGCAGTCGCAGTTGTCAGGGACGGGGAGAGGCAGTCCTAGGCGGAACTGGAGGGCGAATGAGAAGTGGTCCGGATCGAGGCGGAGGGAGGGCATGTAGGGGATGGCTATCAGCCAGTCCCCCGCACCGTAGCCTGTGAGGGACAATAGCCGCTGGGTGTGGCCGCATAGTGGGTTCAGCTCCGTATGCCGTGACGCTGCAACTTGAGCGGCGCTTCGTCCGCCCTGGACTAAGAGGGCAAGGCGGTGCTGCAGCTGTCCCTTGGGTGCAGCCATTTCTGCCGCCAGCAGGTCACGTCCTTCTTGTGTGAGGCTTGCCTTGCACTCCCCAAGCCAGGTTTGCAGTTGGTTGGGGTCCGGGTCCACCTCCTCTGTCCAGTTAAGGGCGGTGGAGAGGTGAGCTCCAGCGGGGCCGGGCAGGGAGGCTAGCAGTCCGTGCGCCTGGACAAAGCTCGCCAGGTAGCTGTAGCGCCCTTCCACCGATGGATCCGCCAGCCCCAGACCTCCCAGGCTCGGGGGGAGGGAAGCCTGGTCCCACACGCGTTGTTCCTCCGCATCCCCCCTTGGGTGGCGCACGCCGCAGGCGTCGAGTAGTGTGTGGAGCAGCTTCTGGCCCCACCGTGACCACTCCTCTTCGGGCAGAAGGGTGAGTGGGGTTGTGCGCGCGAGGTATGACATCCGCCTCGAGATGCACCTCGTCAGCAGTAGTGATGCTGCCTTGTCGGCTGCTGCTTCGCGTCGAATCTGTCGATATCCATCGGTTCGGCGAACGTGGGGGGTGCCGATCGCTCCGTGCCAAATGTACGGTTCGGCCCGTAGCGTCGTGTTTCGGGTTGACCACGAGTCAATGCGTCGTATCGCTCGGCTGCGCGTACGAGGTCGTGGTAGTTACTGTAGTTTGCTGCAATGACCTGTCGGCGAATCTCCATTTTTAACCCTTCCGTATACGCTTGGATTTTTTCGCCCTCAGTCAGGTCGTTGATGCGGTTAAAAATCTGCTCCATCAGCTGCGTGTACTGTGCTACACTCCCGTACTGTTTATGTCGGTCTATCTGCTGCCGCGCCATGTACGTTGAATTTATTGGCTCGAATCGTTCGATGAGGTCTGCCCGAAACTGCGCCCACGTTTTCTCCCCGCAGGCCACGTCACTGTAGTAAATCCACTCGAGTGCTGGTCCTCGCAACAGTGTCGCTGCGAGCCGAATCCTGTTTGCATCCTGTGTCGGGGTCGAACAGCCAATGGCCTCGAAGTAAATTTCGAGGGTCGCCACAAATCGTCGAACGTCCGATCCCTTCGCGCTTGGATCGAACGCTTCGGGGAGCCTCGGGCGAGCTGCTTTGAGGTTCGGCGAGGGTGGCACCACTGGTCCGTGAATTGTCGGTGTCGCCGCTGCTGCTGCTGCCGTCGCTGCTACGTTCGCTGCTGCATTGACTGCTGCTGTGGCGGCTACCGATTGGTTTGTCAGGAGGGCTTCGATTCGCCTGATCGCCGCCTGCGTCTGTTCCACGTCGGTGCGAAGGCTGGCGATGTCGTGGGTGGTCGCGTAGTTGTCGCCTTGACCCTCCATCTCTGACATTGCGAGTCCAAAAACCGAAAACGAGGGGGAGTGAAAAACACGGAACCGATTTTACGTACCCGAAATCGGTGTTTAACAGTCGTCGGCCCCGCGGTTTTTTTGAAGACTCGGTTTTAGTGGTCGAAAAAACTTCGCGTGTAAACGGCTCTGATTACCAAGTGTGAGGATCTAGGATCGAGCTCAGAAAAGAGAGTATGAATTCAATTATCCACCTGGGTACAAGACGAGGCTATATATAGGCTCGACACAAGGCAGGTAACCCAGGTGTTACGCGAATGTTCTGAGGGTTGCGAAGCATCCCGAACAGAACCTTCCCGAACTCGGTAGAAAGCAATTCGGTGGAAACCGAATAGGCTTGAGTTCGGTACACGTAACCTAGTTCGGTGCTATAACTATAATAACATATAGGAATGCACCTAACCTAGGAAATCAAGCATGACTATGCATGATAAATAAAACCCAAGCTAGATATAGCATAATAAGCAAGCATAAGCCGTCGTACTCTCACACCTCACTACAGCCTATACCACATATTATATATTTGACACCTATGCCTATGCCCGCTCCTTATTCTCCCCTATGCCTGCTGCCCTCTCTCTCCGCCTCTTGCAACCTCTCTGCCCCCCCACCCATGCCCGTCCTGCTGAGCTATGCTTGTGACGAGAGGTGCACAAGTGGGGATCAAGGGTGTGATGTGAGCGCTGGGGTGTGAACCAATTTCATCAACCAATTAGGTACCGTACCAACAACACAATGCAAGAACAAACCCACACAAAGTAAACCCTTATGAATTATGACTATATTATGTAGAATACAATACAGTCACTAAAAGCACATAGAGACAGAAACCCACAAAGCTGTTGAAATGAATCAAACTCTAATTTACCTCCAACAAAAGCAAAGCCCTAATCAATCCAGTCGATAGATATTGTGAACGTTTGCATAGCCCCCTGGCTGCTGCTCCCGCCTGAGTTCTGACCCACCTATCAGAACCCCACAATGCAAGTGCTGCTGGCCTCGCCTTACCCATCAGCCCCCTGGCTGGTGCTCCTCAAGTCGCTGCACCAAAGAGGAAGAGAAGAAGAAACAACAAGAGTCAATCATGGGGCGATTGTGAGGCAGGGAGGCAGGACGAAATGGGAAGGTTGAGATGCTTTGAACCAGTGAACGCTTCAAATAGTTGGAATCAGTTATGCGTCAAGCAGTTCATGGTTCAAGAATCAATTGGAACTATCCGAATCAGTCAGTGAAAGTTCATTGCTCGCTCAAAGAAGGCATGGGGTCACAGCAAGCATGGTGTCACAGCAAGCATGGTGTCACAGCAAGCATGGTGTCACAGCAAGCATGGTGTCACATCAAGCATGGTGTCAGCACAGCGTGTGACAGCTAGAGAGTGAAGGGTCAGTGGTGCAATCTCACCCGTCTCGCATTTCACTGACGCTGGCACTTCGGCGACAGGGAGCGTCCTGAGAGCAGCAGCAGCGGGGGCATGGGGGGGGGGACAGGGGAGCACAGGGAGCGGTCAGAGTGAGACACGTGAGGGGCGCACATGCGCACCAACCCAACCAAACCAACGGTGAAACTGTCTCCAAAGGAGGGCTGGACCATTGTGGGGCACATGCTCGCTCTTGACGAAAGGGTCGTCCTCATTCCGCTGGTACGTGGCGCTGGGAGCTCCCGCGCAGCCCGGCGCGGAGTGGAAGGTCACGCTGGTGCACGGGGGAGCGCCCAAATAGAGGCCGAAATAGACAGCGCCCTCCACTGTGGTGGCCGTGCGGAACTGGCTGCGATCCACGTCAGCGCACATGGAGTCGGCGAGATTCGAGCTTGCGGAACCCGTCGGGCCAACGGCAATGAAATCCACCATCGTATCGCCTTGATCAGCGGCGCACGTGGCTGTGAGGAATGCGA